TCTTTCTTTCTTGATTGTTATTGGGAAAGGTGTAGTCTCCCTAATTTCTCTTCAGCCTTCTAACACAAATGTGCATTGCTGTTCTACTGAAAGCTTCCAGACCTTGGACACTGGGCTGGGCTGCACTGTTGATGTCTCTCATTCTGTGTTATCATTTTCTAGGGCAAGGAATCTATTGAATCATTTGTTATACATTACACAGATAGACACTGTGGATTCTTCTACTTCTGATAAGTACTACTCAATAAATCCTTTTGGATTCATACAGCTTTTGGGGCCAGGAGCAATTCTGGGGAAACAAAAATGTAAGGATGAATCTTTCCAACTGGCATAGTAGTTCCTAGAGTTGGTGCTCTAATTTGTTGAGACTTGAAGTTGCCATTGCCTCTGGTTTTTGGTAACAGAGTGCAGACAATTCATGGTGTGAACTATTTATAGTAGTGCACAATGAAGATCATATTGATTGTCCTAATGCACTATTTGTGAGATGTTAGAAGTTTAATATCTCTATGTAATAGTTCTGAATATTTTTGGAAGGGTAAAAATACAATTATGTTGACCAGTTTCCCTTCAAACTCTGGACCTCTAAAGAAAACAAATGAGTTCCAGACACACATAAGTAATCTAAAGGCTTCCAGGTGTGTAAGGAAAATCACCACAGCCCTGAAGTTACCAAAAGGGAAAGCAAAATGCAAGGCTTTATAATACTCCTGGCTGGATGTCAGCACATCTTTAATACTCCGTTTCCAATAGTATCTGCTGTGATAGTGAGAGCACTTGTCAGAAAAGAACAGGACTCTACACTGGGATAGCGATACGCAAGAGGAAGCTGAAGAGGTTGGGGACATTAAACTTCTAAACTGTGATGAGATTATTTCACCAGAGGAACAGATTTCCGCACTCTCGTGGCACCAGCACCACTCCCCACCCGTGTGTTGTTGGCCTCTCCATCTATACTTAAGGAAAATGATCCCAACAGCAGGGAGTTTCCCTAATACCAATTCCAGCTTCCTGGTCACCAACCAAGACAATACAGACCTTCCTCAGGGCCCACCCTCACCACCCACTCTTAGGTCTTGCCTTTTACCAGCTCCGATTTCATATGTTCATCAAGTGACCCATAGGTTAAAAAGATGTTTTTGTACAATAAAGTACTACTCAGCAATAAAGAACAAACTTGAGACATGTATAGCTAAGTGGGTAGACTTTTATATCAAATTTTTAAGTGAAATCAATCAGATCACAAGTATAGATGTCACTTTGTGTCTCCTGTGTGAAAAACTGAAAGTATAAATAAGAATCAAAATGTAGGGCTGGAGAGATAGCTCAGCAGTCTAAGCACCTGCCTAGCAAGCACAAAGACATGAGTTTGATTCCCAGTACTACATACTGTGTCGGCCCTGGAACTCCAGATTACACTGTACTGGCCACTGAAACTGGGCAGGATGGCATATGCCTATAATCCCAGCACTGGGGAGGCTGAGACAGGAGGATCACCATTAGCCCCAGCTGTGTAGTGAGACCCTGTACCAAATACATAAATGATTTTTAAAAAATTTTTTAAAAACAAAATGTATAGCAGATATTGTGACATAGGAAGAAATTGTTCAAAAAAAAGAGGAACTAAGGATGGGGATGAGGGAAAAGAAGGAAAGGGAAAAAATGAGAAAAAAAAGTATGAAGGAGAGGGGAATGGGGAAAAAAGAATCACAATATATAATGTACAGGTATGAATTCCCTGTGATGAATATGATTATTATGTATATCTAATTTGCACCAATAAATTTAATAAAAAATGATTTAGCTGTAATATATAACAAAAAGAAGTTTCTTACAAATGATGTACATAGCATGATCCCTGAGGAGATATGCTGCACTCCCAAAGAACTTAGGTTTTCTAATTCTTACAAGAAGTGGTCTGTGTAACACATATAGAAATAAATTTGAAGCATATGGAATGATGATGGAAGAAACACAAATACAGATTTGGCTAGATTTCCTCTAACGGACCCATTAAATAGAGATTTTTGTTTGAATATTATAGCTCGTGAATATAAAAAGTTGATATTAGTTTATTTGGTTTGTTGGCTGAAATGTGGTTTCAAAAATAACCCACTATGAATGAGCTGAATACATTGATTTTTCTTTTGTTGACTATTGGTGAGAGTATTAAAAGGTTCAGGAAAATTAGAAGGCTGTATTGGATTTGGAAGATAAAACCTGTTCCTTCCCATGGGAAATGTCTGAAAAATGTACCCTCATATTTTAAGAAACAGATTTATGGACCGGGGATATAGCTCAATGGCATAAGCATCTGCCCATCAAGTGAAAGGTCCTGAATTTGATTCCAGGTACAGAAATATATTAAATTTTTTTAAAAAGAACCATATTTCTGGGCTGGGGATGTGGCCCAGTTTTAGAGCTCTTGCCTTGAATGTACCACAGAACAAAAACAAAGCAACAGAGTTGTGAGGGAGTAAAAGCTGCCTTGAATAACTCCATCTTTGTTCTTTTCTATATGCCAGATCTTCCAGTAGGAACTGAAGTCACTCATTTGGGAAAATCACTGGGCATAACAAATTCAATGTGGTAGGGGCACATTGGTAGCATCAACCACCAAGGGCAAGGTGGGAGTACATACCATAATGAACAGGAGAAACAAAGCCAGGATCAGAATGACGTGGATGCCATTGGGTAATTAACCATGGTGCTCACAAAAGTGAAATAGGTGGGAAGCTTATTAATTTTTGCTGGATTTATATGAACAGAAAATGTTAGAGAACATAAAAATCTATCTCAAATCACCACCATAAATACTAGTCCCTCAACCAGTTCTTATATCCAATAAAAGCTCAGTTCTTTCCCTTCAGAAAGAACCCTCAGATTTATGGCTTTGTGGAGAAGGAAAAGATCACACATTTCAGGAAATCCTGAAGACTAATTTTGAATAAATACTAATCGCAGCAAAACAGAAACATTAGGGTGGCCCTCCATTATGTGTAGAAAGCTATGGAGGTCAATAGATCAATGGACTTTGACCCAACATTCAACTCACAGGTGGTCCTATGTGTCCCCAGTTCCATCTTGTAGTCATGTCCCCAGTACCAGTATGTATAAATGGGATAAATCTACTTAGTACTGGTAGAATTCTTACACTGACTCCCTTACCTGTGTTGTAAGGGCTACTGTGCTTGAAAGAAATAATTAAGAGTTGCCGCTGCCTGGGAAAATAGTCAATCAAATAAAATATCACATCTCTGGAAGGATACAAGAGATTAGCACACCATCAAGGATGCATTTAACTAGGGGAAAGATGATTGATTATTCCAATTGCAGCTGCTATACTAGGTGTGGTTTCTTTGCTTGAGCAGATTAACACATCTCCTGGTACTTGGTAAGAAGCCAGTGATTTGGCAAATGTTTTTTCTCCCTTTCTGTTCATAACACCCATAAGAAGCAATTTGTTTTCCCTTGGCAATGCCAACGTTTACTGTCTTACCTCAATGGTATATATATCATTTTGCCAGCCCTATGTCACAATTTAATTCTCACACATCTTGGTTGTTTTTCTCTTTCACATGGTGTATTGTGGCCTGCTACACTGATGACATGCTTACTGGACTAAGTGAGCAATAGTTAGCAAGCAATTTGGACTACATTGATAAAGTGTTGAATTTCAGAGGATGATAATTTGATCCAATTAAAATTCAAGGGCCCTCTCTACTTCAGTGAAATTTCTTGAGTTATGCAGAAATACCACTTCTACTGTAAAGGACAAGTTCTTTTAGCTGGCCTTCTCTATTGCTGATAAAGGCAAATTTCGATTTTGGAGACACCTTCTTTGGGTGTATTATATTGGCCTATTTGCTTACTGACTTAGAAATCTGCTAGATTTGAGTTGTGTCCAGGAAAAAGGAAAGCTCTGCAAGAGGTTTAGGGTGCTGTGCAGGCTGCTGTGCCACTTGGTCATGTAATCTAGGGTCCCCAGTGTTACAAGAGGTGTCAGTGGCAGATAATGACAGTGTTTGGAGCCTTTGGGAGGACCCTACAATGGAGATACTTGAGCAAGCTTCTGCCACCATTTTTAACCTTTAAGCTGCTGCTGTTCCACCGTGGAAATTGAAATCTTGACAGTAGCACACTAGGTTACCATGTGACCTGAGCTGTCCACTATCAAGTGGGTGCTATTTTATCCACTAATTCATAAATTTGGACATATGTAGAAACAGTCCATCATCAAATGGAAATGATATATATGTGACTGGTCTGAGTAGCTCCTAAGGATACAAGTAAGGTATATAAAGAAGTAGCCTAAATGTTCATGGTTCTGTCTCCTGCTATGACACGTACTATCTCCTAACATGTGTCTGTGGACTCATGGGATACACTCTATGATCAAATGACAGGAGAAAAGTGTCAGTTGGCTTGGCTTGCATATGGTTCTGCACATTTTGCAAACACCAATCAGAAATAGACAGTTGTAGTACAAGGCATTCTAGTACATCCTTGAAGGACAGTGGTAAAGGAAAATCTTTTCAATGAGCAGAATTTTAAATAGTACACCTAATCATGCAGTTTTCTTAAAAGAAAAAAATCATGGCTAAATATGCAACTTATCCCAAATCACAGGCTATAGTCCATGGGCTGGCTGAATCGTCAGGGGTTTTGAAGAAGCATACCTGGAAAAATGGTGACAAGGATATATGGAGAAGGTGTGACTGGATAAACAGCTCTATGAAGCAAAGCACATGAAGCTCTTTGTGTCCCAGGTTAATGCCCACCAAAACGTGACCTAAGCAGAAGAGAACTTTAATAATGAAGCAGATGAAATGAACTGCTCTGTGGGTAACAGTCAACCTTTTTCTTTAATGATCCTATAGTTGCTACATGG